TTTTTTGACTTCGTTGAAGATTTTTGTTTTTAAATAATTTCACTCCGAGCAAGGTGATAATGTTCCTAGAACGCAAGGGGTTGCTAAGAGTGAAAGGCAATGAGAAGACTTTAATAAGGAGAAAGGACAATAAATGTACAGGTTTCAGGAAGATGGAAGATGGCGATTGACATTACACTTAATTTTTTGAAGACTGTATGTGACAGAGAAGTAAAAAATCTGAAGAGAATTTCACAGGCGAGAATTGCGAGAAAAAATTGTTAAAATAGAAGTGGCATTTAGCTAGTTCAACACTAAAACGCTGAGACCTGCTTGCCAATCTAGTAGCACGCTTAAATTCAAGCATTTTCTGGTTTTGTCTGTTTTTTGTCTCTTACAGTTTCATAAGATTATGAGACCGTCATCCCTGTAGTGGCCTTTATCATCTTTGTTGATTATTTTTTATTACTTAATGTATTAAATGAATACCTAGTAGTTTGAAGAATATGCTCCATCACAACTTCCCATTTTAACGCAGAACATTCCTTTAGCACAATCCTTTTTAAACATATATGGGAAATTAAAAAAATGTAAAAAATACACTATTAATATCATGGAAAACGAGGAAAAAATCATCGGCTCATAACAATAAATCCAAAAACTGTGAATACTGTCTGGAGGAGGAAATAGCTATAATCACCTTCCCAGACCAACAAAAATTATGAAATAGTCGATCAAGACTTACCATAAAGTGCCGATAAAAATTACTACGTTACATAAAAACTTGAAAACTAAAAACGTATACCTTGTAAAACATCATAAAGAAAATGCAAAAATATGCACTATATACAAAGCAGAAAATGCAACATACACCAGAAAAAGCCAACTAAACAAATATGATAACTAAGTCTTGAAAATAATAATAATAATAATAATAATAATAATAATAATGATGATAATAATAATGAAAATACAAGGACCTTGAAATAGAAATCTCGAAATGTGGCATATGGGAACATCAACAATCCCTGTTGTAGTTGGAGCCCTAGGATTGGTTGCAAAAGATTGCAGTAGACTAATTGAAGGGATTCCTGAAAGTCCATGCCTCAAGGAGATACAAAAAATTGTTCTGACAAGTACAGCCCACATTTTACGAAGGGCTTTATCTATATATATATTTTTTTTTTTTTTGTCAGTGGAAAGTGTCATGGCGCCATTTCTAACCTTAGGTCCCTGGACGGGACCCGGAAAGAAATGTGTAAACGCCAGAAATCAAAGGAAATAATAATAATAATAATAGTAATAATAATAATGATAATAATAATAATAACAGAATAATAAATTAAAAATTTAAATAAATTAAGTAAATAATATATAAATTAGAAAACTACGAATGTCCACATAAACACAATAAATATAATAATAACAAACAGCAAATAATTAATGAATAAATACAAAATACAAGAAATAAGCACATTTGGATCCACAATGATTTCCACATTTAGAATAATTTTAAATATTACCGTAACATAATAAACCGGAAATACCTGACCTTGCTACGCATAACTCCCTATTGAACAGAATATATAGATAGTAAGTCCAACACCCAACACACATGGCCTGAAGACTGGCTTCAAGCATGAAACAGATTGTTGCCTCAAGGTATTGATCTCTGTGTCCAGTTGACTGTGTGTATGTGAGAGTATAATACTACAATAGCAGATCGTATTTTGCGTAGAATATTTCTGAATGTTTTTTAAGGTAAACAATCATTTTTAATTATGGTGATTGATATCGAGATAGAGAATTAATAAATAAAAGATTTCACTTCACTGAAATTCAGAGTAGAGCTTAGTGAAAAAAATTATTTCTCATCATAATAACCATAATAATAATCATAATAACAAAGGTCATGTTAAGGAGTAAATTACTGGAGGTTAACGTATTCAAAAGTGTGCAGATTTTTGTAAATAAAGTGCACACAAAATATATGATGAAAATAAATCAAAAGTAGTTAAAAGATGTATAAAACTTAAATTACATCTTTGGATTTCAAGTTTCAGAGAAACTAGTTCGGCTCATCAGGAGTAAGATATAAATTTACCCTAATATATTGAGTGGAACTATGTCTACGAAAACTGAAGTTCTTTGAATTTTTTTCTTCTTTCTTTCTTTCTTTCTTTCTTTCTTTCTTTCTTTCTTTCTTTCTTTCTTTCACCCATTTCTTTCTTTCACCCATTTCTTTCTTTCACCCATGTCTTTTTTCTTTCTCCCCATTTCTTTCTTTCTTTCTTTCTTTCTTTCTTTCTTTCTTTCTTTCTTTCTTTCTTTCTTTCTTTCTTTCTTCTTATTTCTCTCTTTCTTTCTCCCCATTTCTTTCTTTCTTTCTTTCTTTCTTTCTTTCTTTCTTTCTTTCTTTCTTTCTTTCTTTCTTTCTTTCTTTCTCCCCATTTCTCTCTTTCTTTTTTCTTTCTCCCCATTTCTTTCTTTCTTTCTTTCTTTCTTTCTTTCTTTCTTTCTTTCTTTCTTTCTTTCACAGTTCATATCGGTACGCAAACCGGTTTCAAAAGTTCAACATTTTCAACTGATTTCAAGTTCTTTAAATTCCTACCAAAAATCCACTTGAGATCGCCGAATTCTTTTGCGGTAATTGCGATTTCTTGAAAAATCATTTTTATTTAGATTGTAAAATTTTACTTACAAAATATGCTTCAAAGTAAAATTAATTCTGTTTTTATGCTTAAATGCATTTAAAAATACACGTTTATTTGTACATTCGTTTTTATTATTTATTTGAAAAAGCAAACGAGATAATTTCTTTTTTTTCTCTTAGGATTTAAGTAATTGATTAGAACGGTTATTATCTTAAAATATTCCTTTCCCGTTCAAAGATTACTTTTTGCTTTCCAAGAACAAACTCATGGAAACATGAAAACAAGCGTAAAAATAAGTGTTTATGCTCATGTGAAAAAAAAAAGTGAATAAAGCCGTAAAGATTGCTTGAAAAAGTTCTTGCCGATTCGATATTTCCCATTGATAAAATACACCAGCATCATGTTTCCATGTGTCTGCTAAGATAGGAAAATTATTTTCATTCATTTTTTTTTTTTTAAATTTTTTTTACATGAACGAATGAAAAAGTATCGAAAAGTAAGTCTGATATCTGATTTTAAACTTGAGAGAAGTTTTAGATTTTTGGTTAAACTTAAAAATCAAATTAGTTAATTAAATTAATTAATTAAAACGACCGAGAATTAAGGAAAAGAAAAACAAAAAGAAAAATGTTTTTCTTTTCTTCGACTTACTAATACAACAATAGTGAGAACGGGTAATTTTGTAATTCATTCATTATATCGATTTTTAATCGATTTTTAATATAGAGGATTGACCCAAAGCTGTGTTCACGCGTTTTATAATACTGAATATACCTGGCGCTTTTAAAAATTCGTGAAGTTCAAGTGTGCCGTATTTTTTTTAGAATTGTCGTCTCCTTACACACGAAACTTAGAACTGGGTACTCTTCGAACTTGGTATCTTGCTTTTAATCTTCGAACACTCTTTACCTGTGATGCATTTGTGGATCGAAATTGCTTGATTTTTTTCTTCTTATCAATGCGTATTCATTCACCTGTCACACATTTGAATTTCTGATGATTTGCGTATGTAAATTGCGTATGTAAATGTGCAATTCTATTCATTCTTACTATTTTTTTTTGTTAGGTCGTTGTTCATGCTAATATTCATATCTGTCTCAGCGGAGATGTTAGGGTTATATATATATATATATATATATATATATATATATATATATATATATATATATATATATATATATATATATATATATATATATATACCTGGTGCGTTTAAGTTACATATATGCATATGTGTGTATACATTTTAGTAGAGATGAATACCCGGATATATGCAAGTATTTTGTCACACCATCAAATGAAGAATGACCATTAATGAACAACGTCTGAAGTTTACGGATACCTGTATCTAAACCAAACGGTGCGTAAGTATGCATAGCTAAATTCCCATGTGATATTATCACTCTATACACATACATACATCTGTAGTTATACGCTTTTGTGCTTAAATAACTTTAGGTGTGAGTAAGCATTGAAACAGATGCAGGTATATGTATTTAGTAAGTTTATGTTAACCTGATAAAAGGTCACAAGTGTAGACCACATCACGAAGTGATCCATTACTATCTATCTATCTATCTATCTATCTATCTATCTATCTATCTATCTATCTATCTATCTATCTATCTATCTATCTATCTCAGTCCGTTTCTATCTATCTATCTATCTCAGTCCGTTTCTATCTATCTATCTATCTATCTATCTATCTATCTATCTATCTATCTATCTATCTATCGCAGTCTATATCTATCTATCTATCTATCTATCTATCTATCTATCTATCTATCTATCTATCTGTCACAGTCTGTTTCTTTTTATCTATCTATCTATCTATCTATCTATCTATCTATCTATCTATCTATCTTAGTCTGTTTCTATCTATCTATCTATCTATCTATCTATCTATCTATCTATCTATCTATCTATCTATCTATCTATCTTAGTCTGTTTCTATCTATCTATCTATCTATCTATCTATCTATCTATCTGTCTGTCACAGTCTGTTTCTTTTTTTATCTATCTATCTATATCTATCTATCTATCTATCTATCTATCTATCTATTCTTCTATCTATCTATCATCTATCTATTCTTCAGTTCTATCTATCTATCTATCAGTCTGTTCTATCTATCTATCTATCTATCTATCTATCTATCTATCTATCTATCTATCTATCTATCTATCTATTGAGCAACATAGTGTATTTTATACTATTGACAGATGCTCCATTAACTGCTATTGTTGTTATTCTTATTTTTTTTATTCGGTAATCATAAATAACAATTTAACAATTTTTTTTAATGGGGGCAATTGACTTGTCTATTCAGTAGCAGCAGCAAAAATAAAAGAATGTGTAAAGGGAAACAATTAATAATTAAGAAAAGGAAGAAAAAGAAAACTTGAGAAAGAAATGAATAAAGAAAGACCATGAAAGAAAAAAGAAAGAAAAAAGAATGGCTAAGAAAGAAGAGAGGTTTAAGAATGGAAAAAATAAAGAAATAAATAAAGAATGAAAAGGATTCTTGTGATAATAGAAAAGGGAAAGAAAAAATAGTAACTAATTGGGAAGAAAAGAATGTCATGTTAGTATGGACGCAAATAAAAAATAAAGAACACACTAAAAAGACAGACATAAAGATCAATAAAGAAAGAAAGATAAACCAAGAAAGATGAAAGAAAAACCGAGAAAGAAAGAAAGAAAGGAGGAAAGAAAGAAAGAAAGAAAGAAAAAAGAAAGCACGAAAGAAAAAGAGCAAGAAAAAAGAAAGAAAGCTCATGAAAGAAAGGAGAAAGAGAAAGAACCAAAGAAATAAAGAAAAAGAAAGAAAGAAAGAAAGAACGAGCGAAAGAAAGACTAAGAAAGATAGAAAGTCCAAGAAAGAAAGACCAATACGGACCAAGAAAGAAAGAAAGAAAGAAAGAAAGAAAGAAAGAAAGAAAGAAAGATAAAGAAAGAAAGAGAACGAAAGAAAGACTAAGAAAGAAAGAAAGAAAGTCCAAGAAAGAAAGATCAAGAAAGACCAAGAAAGGAAGAAAGAAAGACTAAGAAAGATCGAAAGTCCAAGAAAGAAAGACCAATACGGACCAAGAAAGAAAGAAAGAAAGACTAAGAAAGAAAGAAAGTCCAAGAAAGAAAGACCAAGAAAGAAAGAAAGAAAGAAAGAATGAACGAAAGAAAGAAAGAAAGACTAAGAAAGATAGAAAGTCCAAGAAAGAAAGACCAATACGGACCAAGAAAGAAAGAAAGAAAGAAAGAAAGAAAGAAAGAAAGAAAGAAAGATAAAGAAAGAAAGAGAACGAAAGAAAGACTAAGAAAGAAAGAAAGAAAGTCCAAGAAAGAAAGATCAAGAAAGACCAAGAAAGGAAGAAAGAAAGACTAAGAAAGATCGAAAGTCCAAGAAAGAAAGACCAATACGGACCAAGAAAGAAAGAAAGAAAGACTAAGAAAGAAAGAAAGTCCAAGAAAGAAAGACCAAGAAAGAAAGAAAGAAAGAAAGAATGAACGAAAGAAAGAAAGAAAGACTAAGAAAGATAGAAAGTCCAAGAAAGAAAGACCAATACGGACCAAGAAAGAAAGAAAGAAAGAAAGAAAGAAAGAAAGAAATAAAGAAAGATAAAGAAATTAAGAAAGAAAGAGAAAGAAAGAACGAAAGAAAGAAAGAAAGAAAGAAAGAAAGAAAGAAAGAAAGAAAGAATGAATGTCAGGATTGAGTAAACCTTTATGAAGGCTAGTGACGTCACCCTTCTGTCTTCATCAGCTACATGAATGCCGATAAAAATTTACTTTATCCCATCAGTAATGCACTCACTAACAAAGGGTACTCATTCTGCTCTGCCATTTTTGTTGTTTAATTATTTAAAGAGGCGTGCTTATCCATGTGTGGTCATCCATATCTCGCTACAGCGTGCATTTCTGCTCTTCATGTAATTAGTAATAAAACGGTGCGGTGGTGTCCAGCGGTCATGGGGAGAGTAGGGTCACCTTGTGTGTTTTCCACTAATTGAAACTAAATGGCTTTAAAATGTACGTCAGTGGAGCAAGCAGCCGGCTAGTTGATGGCTGTTATGAGCAAGTAGGGATGCTTTATCTGAGATCTGAGATCGGAGGTCCTCCTACTTGCTTTAGCAAATGTGTGTGTGATCGGAATGGTGTTGGTTGGAGTGGTGACTATTTTAATCACTATTTTTTTTTTTAACTGCCGTTCTGGGCGCGCGTTTCAACGATGTAGGAGCATGAATTGTCATCCTTTGTTAAAGAAAGAAACAGAAGGAGGCGACAGAACTTTTACCCATGTTGCCTTGAATGTTCTTTTTCGATTTTCTGTCCATTGAAGGTTGGTAAAAATCCGGCACTCCGGTTTTACTCACAACATCTGTGCAGTTCTGCTTCTGAATCGTGTTTTACCGTTTTTTTTTCTCTCTCATGGATGTCACTTAAATCTGTTAGAAGGGAAAGGAATATTTTAAGTGCCATGTCTCTTCAGGTCGGAGGCGATCATTATTCCACACAGATCTCTTTTCGTTATTATCTATGAATTACAATGGCTTTTTTGGGAAAAGATAGCAGAATGATTTCTTGTTACCTTCTCTATAGTTTAGAATTCAGAGTTCGCTTTCTTCTAGGCTGGTTACCAACAAAGGCAATCTGCCCTGCTATTTAACCAATAAATGCGGATGGATTCTTGTTTTTAACAAGGGCATAAAAAAAAAAACTAAACCTGAATTTGAACTCGACACGCCGATTCAACTTTCTGCATGGATAATCATTACACAACTCGTACATCGTTGGAATAATTCTGTTAAAATCAGAATACTGATTTTAATATATTAAAATATGATTTATATTTTCTATAAAATACTAATATGACACCAATAATGCATGACTGAATTATTCATATTTAAGATCAATGCGGCATCTGTTCGCAGTGCCAAGTCTAAATTGTCACTTTCCAGCCCTTTAACTAGTATCTGTGCGCTATGCCTCATTTAAAGTATTTCCTGATTAATGTTATTTGGACACCCTGCCACTGATCAGTATCACAATCTAACATTCTGGGATCACTTTAGTATTTGCCTACTTTTCCTCATATCAAAGTGTTTATGCAGAGACGAATATCTTGGATCAGTGAAGTATCTGTGCACTCTTCCTCTGAAGAATATCTTGGATTAGTTTAGCATATGTGAACTTTGTCTCATGTGAAATTGCTGTTCCACATCTACCTAGAATAAGTACTCTGCTACCGATCAGCGTCACTCTTTAGCTTTCTGTTTAAGACCAAATTAAGTATATGTACATTCTGTTTAATATCAAAGTGCTGCTTCATAGACATCTGTCTAGGATCAGTGAAGTACCTGTGTAAAATGCTTCTGGTCAGTGTCATTCTTAAACCATATATCTCGAATCGATTTAGTATATGGGCACTCTGCGTCATATCAAAGTGCACAACTATCTACCTAGGATCGGAGTAGCATCTGTGCACAATGTCTATGATCAGTGTCGTGCTTTCGTCCAAAATCAAAGATCAAATTAAGGATATGACCACTTTACCTCTTTACAAATTGTTGTTTCTCAGCTGTTTATTTACGATCAGTTTAGTATATGTGCATTATTATCAGTGTTACTTTCCAGTACTCTATTTAGGATCAGTTTAGTATCTGTGGTCTCTGTCTCATATCAAAGAGTTGATCCCCTACTATTTATCTAGGATTGGTGTAGAGTTAATTATATATATATATATATATATATATATATATATATATATATATATATATATATAATATGAAATTCATCAAGGAAGGCAGCGTAGATTTTTTTGAACCAAGTATTTTCGACATTTTCTAAGATTTACCTCTGTAGATGATCTTAGAAAAGGTCGAAAGTGCTTGGCTTAAAAAAAGTACGACATTTTCCTAGATGAATTTCACACTAGTATCAAGAAATCGATTAGTTAACTGGAAAGTTTCAGTATAAAAATCAACACAATATGTCTATATTATTCAATGATATATATATATATATATATATATATATATATATATATATATATATGATAAAGAAATTAATTGCCAGAGTTGAATTAGACCAGGAAACAGTCGTATTAAAAAAAGTGCTCAATACACATATAAAAAGATAAAGATTTAACATGCAGAGCTTTTAAGTATAAAAAATTGGGAAATCAACCGATTCCGCTACATTGGTTTCGTCCTTTCGGAAATCAATTGACTGAAATCACCTGAAGATACTGAAAGGTTGAAACCAAGGCAACGGAAGCAACTAATTTCCTAATTATATATATATATATATATATATATATATATATATATATATATATATACAGTCGAATCTCTCATTTACGCCCCCCATCAATGGACTTCGGATGCAACGGACAAAATCTGCAGGTAAAATAAAAGAAAAAGTTATGCAAGAAAAAACTCCCAATCCTCAGCGATTGCGGGTTAGCAGAACGAGTCGTATTAGTTCACAAAGTCACCGTTTGGCGGTGGTGGATGACCTTTCAATTGTAAACAATGACAGGTGTACATATATAAAGTACGATACATTAGAAAGTAGATGTGAGAAATCTGTTATTTTTGTTATATTGATTAATATATCTATCTCAAGTATATATTTATTTATGCCATATATACATGTCTATAGTATTTACATCATAACTACTATGATCATAACTACTGGTAGTTACTATAGTGGTTTTATAACTTAACAATAATCCCTTCTTATCTACGGACAATCGGCTTTAACAAACCACCCATCCTCCCTATTAGTCCATTGATATATATATTATATATATATATATATATATACACATTTTGTTGAAGACGACTGACACAATACTGCAATTAAGCTTTTTATTTAATTTTTTGTGCTTGTATAAGGGTTTTCTTTACTGGACATACAATATGTAAAAACTGTCCAAATCTTCTATATAGATTTGGACAGTTTTTACCCAGAGAAATGAAGATGTTAAAAAATTAAAAAGTATCAACTGTTTTGGTAGACGTCTATATTTTTGAGATGAGGTATTATGTACACTATTTACATTGTTCGGGCTATCCTTCCTCATGTACTCATCTTTGTCGCCATACAAGGACACATGGCACAGTGGATAAAGGCGTTGGTTAGATCCAGTGACAGGACCCAAAGAGCGTGAGTTCAATACCCGGTTAAGGCAGTGGAGAACTTTCAAAGGGAAATTAACAGGAGATAACTAATAACTGACATCCATTAAACATGGCACGTGGAACTAGAACAGTCTAACCCAGTGAGCGAAATGAAGGGTTAAGTTCGACATTCCAACCACCTGAAGAAGGCCGGAGCGTACAACGGCCGAAACGTTGTAATAAATATGGCGACAAAGATGAGAACAATAATGTAAATAATGTTTTGGTAGATTATTGCCTTGGTAAGTGTATATACGTAGCCAAATGACTAGTTACTGATTATGATCTACTACTACAAATTAGTATAAAAAATGTTGTTCATTTAAATAGTCTTTTTAGAAAATGGGTCCGGTCGAAAAATTTTCTTCATACAGTTATACAGTTACTAATTTTTACGTGACAACACTTCTCTGCATTTGCCATATTCTTTTTTTTTACGTGCAGTGTCTTTTCAGGGCTTAGACGATCACGGTTATACACAATTTCCATTTTTATTTTTATTTCTATAAGCAAGGTTTGTCCTCTTACGACTCTTTCTAGTCCTTGTCCTCTCAACCATTTATACAAACTCTTTAAGCAGATTACTCTATGCTTCCCTTTACCTCTCTTGCCTTTAATATGCCACGTGAGTGTCGAATTCTTCAAAGCTTCTTTCCTCATTATATAAACACAGGCATTTAAACATGTTTTTTGTTTCTATTTTCCATAACCCTTTGAGCCCTTCGTTCCTGAACAATTTTAACGCTTCTGCCTGAGCTCCTGTGTTAAAATTAGCAAGTAATTGGTATGTAATGTTTCACGGTAGATATAAAAATAGTTACAAAAAATATAACTTCCTGATTGCTTCCTTGACAACCCAGGTTGAGAATCTGCACTCTTCATGGTAAAAACAATCTTTTTTATTCAAAACGCATGCACAAAACACAATGAAAAGGCACGGACATGTTGATGTAACGTTCGATGACATCAGAATATTACGGCTTTTCTGATTGGCTCTTCAAAATAAGACAACCAATAGCAAAACACGACGCAAGTGTTTACCCACCATTAACCGGCGACTGGGCATTACGTCCTTTTTCTCTACCACCCGTAAAGCTGTGGTCAGGCCTCAGAAGGTTAAAACTCTATCGCAGTTCACAAAATCAATCCATGTTTATTTCAGTATCGTTCTATAGGAACACGTCTCTATTGCCTCATGGCAACATTTGTAAAGAAAATGTCCCACGTTCACTGCCGAACAGGATAAATGATATTACATAGCGTAACCCTTTTCATTGTTTCTAAAATTTTATTACCGTGTTTAGTTTCTGAAAGGCATCTTTCGATATTTTATTGCAGCTTCCAATTTCTATGATACATTTTCCATTGTTTGTTATGGCGATGACTAGATATTTAATTTTCTCTACCTGCTTGATTCTGACGCTTTTAAATCATAGCCTGGAACTCGAACACTCACACTTGCTAATGTCCTTTCCTTCTTTCTTCTTACAATTTATAGCTCTGTCTTAAATTTTTTTAAGTAATAAAACAAACAATAAAAAAGTCTTTAAGAACGATCTATTGTTTCTATAGAAGTGTTTTGACATTTGTTGTAAGAAACAAAAAAGATAAAGTTACAGTAACCTGAGACAATCGGAAATAGCATTATAGATGGCAAAACGCGTCGGATAAAAAGGAGTATAATTTTCCTCTTGTCTTTTCATTAATTTTGTCTTTTTCTACCGATATGTTCCATCTGAGAAAATATATATATATGTATGAGCGAAAATGGAAGAGTTACATCCGTGATACTGGAAAAAAAACGCCCCAAAAACACGTGAACTTTGAACTTTGAAATCTAGAACGCTGCATAAGCGGTAGAAACGAGCACTTGTAATGCTTTGAAATTACAGACAGAAACACATATATACACTAGCAGACAACCTAACCCCTTAAAGATAGTCTCAGGTGAGATCGAAAGTACTTGGGAAAATAAAAACTATTTGAATGAAAATTTTGGTATTTTTCTTAATCAGTTTTCTGACACTAACCAAAAATTTAAGCCACGAACTTGAAAAGATCACAACAAAAACTAATTGACATGATATGTCTAAATTATTTAACCAAACCCGTTTGAACACACACACACACACACACACACACATATATAT